AATGGGATGCCTGGGCTGGGGGCAGGAAGGGGTGGGTCACGGTGTGCCCCCCCCCCAGCTGTGCTGCTGTCTGTCCCCGCGTCGCAGCCTTCCCACATTAAACGGCAGCTGCTCAGACCCCACTGTGCTTCGTTTTCTTTACCCTCTCCAACACCCACCTCGGTGACGGGACAGCCTGGTGCTCCTGTGCCATGGACCCCCACCTTGCTGAGAGCCCCCCAAATCTGCTCTCTGGAGCCTCCCGTGATCCCAGCCACCCCTGACCTGGCATTACCCACCACATCCCCTCCCCCGGGGGTGAGGGTGACAGCGGGTGCTTCTGTGGCACAATGCTTTGGTGGCGCCGGACGTGGCATCGGGGCTGCCCCACGCCTGTCCCGGTGTGATCTTCCCACCCAAGGAGGAAGAAGCTGATGGGCGCCGGCGAGAGCAGGTCAGGGCATGCTGGCCCTGGGGCCACCTGACAGCCCCAGCTGGGAGCACCCCGGGGCCGGCGTGGGCAACGCCGGGTGTTTTGCCTATCTCGCTTCCAGCACGGCGAGCTGCGCCAAGGTGCAGCCAATGCTCCGCTGGCTTGGGAACATCCTTCCCTCCCGCCTCGGGGTGCATAGGGATGATGGGGGATGCCAGCAGCCTGGCTTTAGGCGTCTCCACTGAGTCTGGGGGCTCCCCCATCCCTTCGCTGGGAAGGGGGATGGTGAAAAACGCGCCCATGGCGCTGTGGTGCTGGGGGCTGGGTGAGAATGTGAGCGCGGTGTTCTGGCAAGCATCCCTGCAGGGCCACTGCTCGTCCCCTCCGCGGGCGGTTGTGCACCCTGTTTTGGGTGTCTCTCGTGGTCCAGGTCCCACTGGCTGGGGAAGGGTGCCTGGGATGGCTTCCCGTCATCCCGGCCTCCTGACCTCCCAGGAAGCTGGTCTCACTTTCACTGGGAGAGGGACATTGCTTTTGGGCCAAAGGGGCTTTCGTGGACCAGGGGAGGCAAAGGCCCAGCGCTGGGTGTCCATCAGGATGACAAGGGGTGAAAGGTGCTGGGGAAGGAGCGGGGATGCGATGGGGGAGGAGAAGCCGGAGAAACCAAAACGGGGACGGGAGAAACGACGGCGAAACCTCCTGCAAGCGCCGCAGGGTGTGCCAGGCACAGATGATACCACGCTGTTACACGGGGCTCATAAAACCTCAGCTGGTCCCAGCCGCCAAGCGCGGGTGCGAGCACCCGTGGGTGCACTCTGCCCCATGGCAGTGTGGGGGCTCTGCTCCCTGCAGGGCTAAGAAGCGATTCGGGCTGAGCTGGGGGCCATAGCGGCCATGTGTGACCATGGTGGAGCTGTTAGTGTGTCCGCTGTGTCCCCCATACTGGCCACCCCTCTTATCCAGGGGTTACAGGGTGATGCCTGCAGAGACCCTGAGCTCTGTGGTCTCTCGCCAGGGGTTTGCCCTCTTGGTGCTTTCTCCCAGCGTGAAGGACCGGCGGGTATCGACGAAAGTGCTGAGGCCCTGTTAAGCCGGGATCAGAAGCAGACCTGAGCTCTGACCCATTTCCAATGCACCAGAGAGGAAATCCGGGGTCCAAAGGGCGCTGAATCACAGCTGCCGAGGGCGAAGCCAAACCTGCCCTTGAACGGGGAGCAGCCGGTGCTGGG